ATGATTAGGGGACTGGAGGCTAAAACATATGAAGAACAGTTGCAGGAACTGGGCATGGCTAGTCTAGTGAAGAGAAGGGCTAGGGTAGACATGATAGCAGTTTTCCAGTATTTGAGGGGCTGCCACAGATAGGAGGGAGTCAAGCCATTTTCCAAATCACCTGAAGGCCAGACAAGAAATAATGGATGGAAACTGAACAAGGAGAGATTCAACCTAAAAATAAGGAGAAAATTTCTGACAGTGAGAACAATCAACCCATGGAACAGAAGTTGCCTTCGGAAGTTGTGGGAGCTTCATCCCTGGAGGATTTCAAGAAGAAATTGGAAGGCCATTGGTCAGAAATGATGTAGTGTCTCCTGCTTGGGCAGGGGGTTGGACTAGATGACCTACAAGGTCCCTTCCGATTCTGTTAATCTAATCCAAATGTAATCTAAATCTAAAAACAGATCCATTGACGTTTTATATATACTGCAACGGATACTTCAAGTCTGATCAGGAATGTCCCCTCAGTGTTAGGATATGTTTTGTTGGGGAGCAGGAATATTGATACTGATACGGCTTGTATCTTAGGGCCAAAGGCTGGGGTCTCTTAGATGGGGCCCAGTCAACTTGAGAATGAGAGATGATGGATAAGCAATAAATGAAGTCAGTTTACTCTGGAAAGAGTTCGAAGAAGAGCAACAAAGATGATTAGGGGACTGAAGGCCAAAACATATGAAGAACAGTTGCTGGAACTGGGTATGTCTAGTTTGATGAAAAGAAGGACTAGGGGAGACACGATAGCAGTGTTCCAATATCTCAGGGGCTGCCCCAAAGAAGAAGGGGGTCAAGCTATTCTCCAAAGCCCTTGAGGGCAGGACAAGAAGCAATGGATGGAAATTAATCAAGGAGAGAAGCAAACTAAGGAGAAATGTCCAGACTGTGAAAAAATCAGCGGGGACAGCTGGCATTCAGAGGTTGTCGGTGCTCCATCACTGGAGGCTTTTTAACAAGAGATAGGACAGCCGTTTGTCTGGAATGGTACCGGATCTCCTCCTTGAGCGAGGGGTTGGACTAGAAGACCTCCAAGGTCCCTTCCAACTCGGCACTGGGCTGAGGTGTCTATGTGCACTCATGCTGGTCAATGCAGCATCGTTCCCTCCAGTCATGTGAATGAGCAGACACCCATCTTAGCAGATGGATAGACCTTAGCCTAGAGATGGTTGCANGAGAGAGAAAGGGGAGAGGGAGAAAGGGGTAAAGGGGAGAGGGAGAAAAAGGGGGAGGGAGGGAGAGAGAAAGAGAGAGAAAGAGACCATCCTTCCTGCATTGAAGCTGTGGACACAGATCTACAGTATGTCTCATGCTCCCTTTTGACATGAAATATCCTCTTGGCTAATGATAAATGGCTTCTCCAGCCATTGAAAATCCTTCTGTTCTCCCCCAAATCCCCAGCTTAAAAAAAATACACACTCATACAGACACACATCTACATAAACATCTCCTCTGTCTTCTCCCTTACAGGAGGACTTTTCATGAGAAACACTGTCCAGGAACACAGCGCATTCCGATTTGCGGTGCAGTTGTACAACACCAACCAGAATTTCACCGAAAAGCCCTTCCATTTGAACTACCATGTGGATCACCTGGATTCTTCCAACAGTTTTTCGGTGACCAACGCATGTAAGTAGCTGGCTGTGTTTTTCTTCACAATTCCACCTCGCTGCTTAAGTTTCCCACCCTCTTCCTCTCCCTCCATCCAGTCACCTTCCCCCTCTTTCTGCCCCCCATACCCAAGGCTGCGGCACACTCAATCAGAGGCTGTGTTATTGTTGTTGTTGTTCTGGTTGCAACAACAGACCAACGTAAGGAGAAATTCATTTATTTTGCAGGGCCTTCCTGCGTGGCCTTTATGACAAAACGGGTTGATTCTCACAGGCTGAACGTTTTCTCCTCCTTCCCTGGAAGCCGTTGAAAGACCGAGGCAAATAGCAATAATAATAAAAAAAGGGACACATATGTTCATTGTTGGGGTTTATATAAATGGACGTGCCGCGTTGGCAGGGGGCATTATTTTACAAATAATACGTTTGGAGAAACCAACGTAGAGGCTGTTGTTTGAAGTGACCTTGGGATGACACAGGGAGAATGGATGTTTGCCCCTTTTCTGCTTTAAAATAGCTTTTCTACTCGCAGAGAATGTGTGTGTGTGTGTGTGTGTGTGTACATTTGCTTGTGTGTGTGTGTGTGTGTGTGTGTGTGTGTGTGTGT